CCGAGGGCCTGCAGCTGGGTGAGAGACCTAGAGGGTCGTCGCCTCATCCCCTTCCCAGGGCCAGGCCCTGAGGCTGCTGTGGTTGCCTGAGGATGCAGGCCCACTTCCCAGGGCTGTGTGGGTGTGCGCGAGGCGCAGCAGGCCCTGGCCAGAGCCTGGCAGGTAACGGTCAGTCAGCACCTGGCATCGGCCCCAGTCCGTGCTGTTGGTCAGTTCGGAGAAGGCAACTAGGAGCTTATTTAGAGTCTGGAGGAGTCCAGGCTCTGACGGGCCCAGGACATGAATCTGGTCCTTGTGTCCCTGGTCCCACACCTGCTCCACCTGAGCCCTGAGCAGAACCCTCCTCTGATGGAACGAAGCCTGCAGGAGGCGGTGAGGCCCAGCCTCCAGGTCAGTGGTCCCCATGGAGACTGCGGCTGCAGATGAGATGCATTGGGCTCCTGCATCCACCTTCTCAGAACAGGTTCGAGGTTATGGGCTGCCCTCCACCCATGTGTGTCCTGGCTCAGGGAGGAGGTGCCAAGCTGGTATGTGCTGGGAGGTACTGGAAAGAGAGGATTCCACAGGGTGGGCCCCAAGGCTTGTCTCTGGGCTCATGTCCCCACATCTCACGCTGCGTATCCTGCAGGCCGCTTGGAACCCTCAGCCTGGAAAGGTTAACCGTGGAATCTCCCACCTAGAACTGCAGTGGGAACGACGTGGCCAGTATGCCTGGCAACCACGGGGCTCAGTCCGAGCTGCCACTGATGGTGGCAGCCGTGGCGATGGCAGTGACGAAAGAGGTCATGATGTGGTGGTGGTAACGGTGGTGGCCATGCTGACAGCTGAGGGATGATGGGGAGGAGAGGAGGAGGTCCCAAGGCGCCCTGGTGGAGCTGAGCTGGGAGAGTGGGAGCCGAGATGGGACCCAGGAGCCTACCCCTCGAGGGAAGCGAGGTACAGGTGCCTCACGAGGAGGCTGGACCTGAGGGCGGGGTGCCTGCCACATGAGTCGTCTGGAGCAGAGGGCCCTCACTGCTTGGCGGGTGTCCAGCGAGCTGTGCGAAGCCCAGTGTGTAGATTGGGTGCATGCGGACCTAGCAGAGGTGTGAGCAGCAGCAACCTCGGGCAGGCCTTCGTGGTGCTGAGGTCTCTGATAAGCACAGACACCTGGAGGCACCTTCCCGGCTGATGGCCGGGGCCGGTCGGACAATGCTGGGTCCTCTCCTCCCCCCGTCGGGAATCCGGAGAGTCAAGAGTATTCACAGGGGGTTTTCCCCGGAGGAAGGCCTTGCCGAGAGTCCCAGTGAGGGGAGCCCACCGAGGCCCCTCGCTCCTGAGGACACTGGGTCTGCCCGAGCAGCGTGGTAGGCAGAGGCGACTGGGCAGCCAGGATCTCTGGCCGTTGCTGCCTCTGGAATGTGCTCCAGAACTCAAGAACCTGTCTCTACCCTGCCCTTCCCAGGCCCTGTTTGGGGTGAGGGAGAAAGGAGAAGCTGACCAGGCCCCGGGGACTGTGGGCCCAGCTGTGCCTGAGGATCGGTCAGCGCTCCAGTGAGTGTGCGCCTTAGATTTCTTGGGCACGAGGCCTTCACATATGGATGTTCTGTTACCAAGTGACTGACCTAAGCATGGGATCTGTGAGAATCTCCCATGTCCAATAGGGCAGACACTTCCCCACTGGAGCGGTCAAAGGGACAGTGGGACACACAGCCGGAGACACAGGCACCCCCATCCCTGTGCTCATGGTGCACACCTGCATCCAGACCGTCCCCTAGAGGAGGCGGGCACAGGAGATCCCTTTGGCTGGGCACACTACCAGAGGCTCCGGCCAGGGGAGCTGCTCCCGTTGGGCCCCAGGCCCTGTCTGCATGGTCCTGGGGTTGGGACCTCTGGGAGCTCGCCTGGCCTCAGGGCAGGTGCCTCCTGGGCCCCCTTCTGCAGCCCCGGGCTGGTCCCCCGGTCCTGCAGGCCCTGGGCCTGGCCAGCACTCACTCAGTGTGGACTGTGGCCCCCATACACCAAGGGGCCCCTCTGACTGGCTCCTCTCGCCAAGCGCAGACTCCAGCTCTGCCTCTGGCCCGCTGACCAGCTTACCACAGGCATTCCTCGGAATTAAATCATCTGCAAACTCGTTTTAAGGGACAACCACTTTCCTAAGCCCCTCACTATTGACCTAAATTGTTTTTATTATAATGTTGCTGGAAAATGAGCAAACACTGAGCTGGGAGCCCTCACCAGACAATAAACTGGAATAAACTGAAACCATTTACACATTAAACACAAACAAAGCTGCAAAACCAATAAAATTTAAATTTGCAGCTTCAGTTTCACAGGGCAGATGTTTGGGGAAGACACCGGCTCCCGTGGTGTGCTCACATGCCTGGGTTCGCTCCGCGTTCCAACTGCTCCTGCGTTTGATCTGAGGCACCTGTGCCCCAAAATCGTGTTGATAACTGGGTGCCTTTGCTGGAGGCAGACCTCACATTTCACCAGTACCATCCCGGAGGCACTTCAAGTGGGGGTCCCCATGTGCCGCCTGGGCTGCCACGTACACGTGTAGGCAAGCTTGCAACTTGGTCAGTCCATAAAGAGGACAGAAAGATGCATTGCTGTTTATGGCAGTGCTTTTTGCGAGAGGGCCTCTCCAGGGCAGGCACACGAGTCAGGGCTAGCAGTGCATATGTGGGCTGTGCAAGGGTCCTGAGAACCAGTGCGGGGATGCATCCCCTCCACACTCTCATCTCCAGCCCCTCTGGGGGCACGGTGCCCAAGGAGAGCAGCTCCAGCTGTGGGTCTCATCCTGATTGTCACCGAGTGTGGTCCCATAGAAACCTGAGTGGGGGATGCAGGGGAGGATGGTCCCATGCTCTGTGCTGGCCAAGCCCACTATCTGAGGGGCCAGAGAGCAGGGCCACCCCTAGGCATGGGGTCAGGCCCCTGTGGGCTATGCACATACCGTGCATTCACAGGGCACCTGCACCAGTCCTTTCCTGCCCTGGTTGGAAGCTCCCCACCTCTCTGAGTAAAGAAAGGTTCTCAGGACATTTTCAGTCTTGAGAACAGTGCCATTTCCAGCACTGAAACATCCACCCATGTGTACAGATACAGGCCGCATCTCAAAGTGAAGGTTTTCACCCCAGCCCTGCTGCAGACACACTGGAATCCAAGCAAGGGTCCTCACCCACCTTGCGCGGGGGTGCACCCCAACTCTACCCATCTTCTGCAAGGGTGCGCACCAGCCTGGCCCCGCTCTGCTTGGGAAGGGCTGTCCTTGCCTTCAAATGCACTTTACCTGGTCTTTCCTGGCTGTGTCCCCACCGCCCCTGCCAGGCCCCTGTTACCCTGAAGCTGCCCGTCATCTCCAGTCCTGGTTTGATTTGCCCCATGGTTTTGATAAGCTGGTCTTTAAGCAAATTGACAGGAGCTGCCTGAACCCAGGGCCTGCATGCTGGCCGATCCGCCACCCCTTCCTCTCCCAGGACTGGGACCGCGGTGCCCTGCTGTTGCCTCCTGTCACTCCCTCCCTTCCCCCTCCGTCCCTCCTAAGTGTGCATATGGAGAGAGTCCCAGAGTGTGGACAGTGAGCCACGTGATGCCACACGGCAAGTCCCCAGTAGTGCGCCAGAGAGGAGTGGGCAGCAGGCACCCTGGCTGGCAAGCTGGGGAGTCCGTGCTGGGTGCCTGGTGGTGTCCCTGGGCGCGTGCAAGGTGGAGGGAGGCCTGGGTGAGAAGGAGCCATGCCCGATGCCCTCGGCCACTCAGTTGGATGGAGCTGCTCCCTCCAGCCCCAGGCCCCTCCGGAGGGAGCTGCTCTCCCAGCCTGGGGACAGGCGCTTGGACGTGGTGACAGATGAGACCCTGCCATCCCCAGAGCCCAGCTAGCAGCCACTGTCACTCCCGCCCCGCAGCTCTGTCAGCCTAGGAGCACTCCCCAGCCCTAGAGCTGCCACAACAGCAGGGCCAGAGACGCAGCTGTGACACGTGGTACGAAAGGTCCCTTTGTTGCTGGGACGTGGTGGCCCAGCACTGGGCCTCCAACTGCCTCCAGCAGGAAGGGGGCTTAGCCTAGGTGAGCATCCGCCCATGGCAAACAAAGGCGAGTGAGCCCAGCACCACCTACGTGGCGGGGCTGGCCCCCCGACGCCCAGGCCGCAGGCAGGGACTCAGTGCCTGTCTTGTAACGGCACAGCCGGAGCCATCACATGCATGTTTAGAAGGACATACACGTCACCCTAGTCCGAAAAATGACTAGTTCTTCTGACGGTCCTGTAATGATGGTTACATGAATACAACCAGTGTGTACTCTGTTATTAAGCCCCCTGCTTCTACGGCTTTCCATCTGAGAGGACTGTCCAGCTGCCTGCCTACTGTCCACAGCCAAAAATGGTGGTGGGTTCCGCAGAAGAAGTTGGTGTGGATGCTGCAGCCCGGGTGCCACTCAGGGGCCCGGCGGCCACCAGGCCCCCTGCCGATGCTGCACGTCCCTGCCCTTCAGCGGGCGCACCTGCACTAGAATGGCCACAGGTCAGCATTTGCAGTGAGGCCCAGCAAGGGGCCTGGTAGCTGTAAGCCCTGCCCCGGACTCCCTGACGTGCCCCAGCCGCCCGCCTCCTGCAGACCTCACCCCTGGCGCTGCCCCAGGCCCCTGGGTCCCCCTCCAAGGACAGGCCACCCTCACTGCATCCGAGGTTTGTCCTTCCCTGGCTTTGAAGCAGATTCCAGACGAAGGAGAGAAACCAGGTGGCTTCTCCAGGGACGGGCCATTGGCTTCTCCGTGAATCTGTGTGGAATGCCCTCGGTCACCACTTACTCGGTGACCTGTGGCCCAGCTGGACTTGGGGGACCAGGGAGGAGCAGCAGCCTGCTCGGGCCACCCTGACCGAGAGCAGAGGCAGCCCACTAGGCCCTCCCACGCCTACACCTGGTGCCAAGACCCTGTGTCGGGTGTCAGGCCGCGGAGGGCGAGCCACGTGCCCCTGGCGAGCAGCGGCTGACCAGCTCTCCGTTCTCTCCCACAGCACGGGTCATCAGGACAAAGCAGTGGTGCGACATGCTTCCTTGTCTGGAGGGGGAAGGCTGTGATTTGTTGATCAACCGGTCAGGCTGGACGTGCACGCAGCCCGGCGGGCGGATAAAGACCACCACGGTATGTACGTGGCTGCCTCGCTTTTTGTGGGGGCACCGGGAGGGAGGGCGGCCTTGGACACCAGAGCCCGTGTGGCAAGAGGGCCGCGGGAGCTGGTCACCATCTTCCTTATGTGGAGAGACCGCCAGCCCTGCCCCCTCCCCACCGGCCCTGCCCGTCTGTCCCTGAGTGTGCAGGGGCCCGGGGGCCTGGCCAGAACCACCCTCCAGGGTCGTCAGCCCCGAAACAAACTTGATGCTCTCGCACGGAAGGTGGCTACTAGAGTTGTCGAGGTTCTGGGGCAGGTGTGGTCGTCAGCAGCTGGAGGAGAGCCGAGGGCCCCACAAAGGCGGGGCCCCTGAGGCAGGACTGGGGAGCAGCCCCCCATGTGCAGAGGTCCCCGAGGGCTCTGTGAGGAGCCAGTGCCGGGAGCTGGGGCCAGAGGAGAGCACAGCCCTCCATGGCCGGCTGGGCTTCGCGTTCAGGAGCCCCTTTGCCGCAGCGGCTGCGTGAGACCCAGAATCCGAACTCGGCATCAGCAGGCTCGCTGTGCCTGAGCACGGTCTGGGCCCTCAGAGCACTCTGGGTGCTGGGCTGTCGGAGGGAGGTGGCATCCGGAGTCCGGGGGCTTCCCAGAAGACCCTGTGTGTGTGGGAATTGGGCAGTCCGGCCACTCTCAAGGTCAGGCCGCCTCTCTGGGCCTGGCTGGGCCACATCTGTTCAAGCGTGACTATCCATGCAAAGCACAGAGGGCCAGGCTGGCACGAGCGTCCTGGTGGTGCAGCTGTCAGCACAGCTTATTTACCTGTGTGCAACACAGAGGTCACTGCATGGCCATCACACCTGAGCAGTGGGCCGGGCTCTGCAGCTCATTACCCACCACCTGCCTCGTGTCTCACAGGGGCTGGCGGGTTGCTGAGGGGCGGCTGCCACCTGCAGGCCCATCTGAAAAGCAGCTGAGCTTTCTAGGGTCCCGTCTGTGTGCTGTGCCCAAAAGGCAGAGGCCTGGGGACAAGCAGAACTCTGGACAGCTGCAGCTGCCTCCCCCAGGTCCATGGCTCCAGGGTTCAGTGTGTGGATGCCCAGCAGGGCCCAGGGCAGCCTGTGTGCAGGAGGTGCCAAGTGTTGGGGTCTTTGAATGAGCACCTAGGGGAGGTGAAGCTTGGGGGAGGCTTTGGACTGCCCACCCACTGCAGTGGGCCTGGGGGCGTGGCTGTGGTGGATAGGCCTGCACCCGAGGCCCGAGTGTGGCATTGGGGGCAGGCCCACTGGGGACACCCTGGCAGCACCTCTGTGTTCTCCCAGCTGAGAACTCGGGGCTTCCCCCTCATCAAGCAGCCTAACTCCTTCCTGGCTCCCTGCACCCTGCTCCCCACCCCCTGTCCCTCAAGGTTCTGGGGACAGCTGCACGCAAAGAGCTGAGCACACCCTCTGGCAGGCGCCCCCCGTGGACACGCTCCCTGACACACTCCCTCAGAGAACCTGGTGGGGCCCGTCCAGGTCCAGGTGCTCGTTCTCATGGGCTCACCGACCCAGGAGCTCGGCCCCACTGTCTGGGCTTTACCACCATGAACCCTGCCCCTGGGCACCTGGAGGTCTGTAAGCTGTGGGGCGGGCTTTCAACCTGCTGGGTCTGCCCAGCCCCAAAGCTGGCAGTGGCTTTGCATGAGCTCACATGTTTCCCAGCTCAGAAGACAGGCTTTCTGAAGGGTGCATTCTGAGGCCAGCCTGCCCTGGAGAGCCCCTGCTGGCCCAGGTGCCGCAGGAGAAGCCCGTGGTCCGGGTGGGGGAAGGTCGCCTGCCATACCCAGCAGAAGTCGGGGAGATGCTCCCTCCCAGGTTCCTGCGACTCCCTGAGAGGGTGACAGCACTCACGCTTGGACACGCAGCCTGCTTCCAGTGGGGAGATTACGTGTGGGGCTCCCCGGACTCTCCTCGAGTGTGTGGGTGGTTCGGTGTACCTGATCGTGCGGCTGTGGTGACACTAGGGAGCCAGGCAGGCTCTGTTACCTTCCTAGGTATCGAGAGAGGGATCTTTGGCTCTAGAATCTCTGGCCTGTAGTGACCTATTTTCAAAGCTTTCTTAAAAGGTGGCTGAGCTCTTGACCTGAACGCTGTGTAATCAGAGCACGTGGTCCCATTGCCACAACTGCGTCCTGGCTCTCTCATAGGTGGTCAGCATGTGGGGTTGCACATTTCACTATAAATTGGTTTTCCGTGAGATGGGCTTTAAGAGACCCTGCGATTACTTGGCCACCTGACCACTAATTCAGTCCCAGCTACCACGTGCTCAGCCCAGCACCCCTCTGGCCACAGACACATCTGGAAGTGGTGTCATCCCACCCTCCTTGTCACACCCCACATGGGCCTGGGCTCTTTACATCCCTGTGTCGCCATCTGTGAGCTGCTGGCGGGTAGGCACTGGGCCTAATGGCCCTGCTACCCCATCCCCTCACTCAGAGCCAACATAAATATGTGTGATTAATTGATTAATTGGATACAGACCCTAGGTCTATGCTGATGTTTGCATTTCCTAGATGGCTGCCCTCAAAGCGCAGGTCACCACCCCATTAGCAGGTCATGAAATTAATTTAGTGGATCATGATCAGCATTTACAAGAAAGAAGAAGAAATACAATAAAAATGTTAGAGTGTTCTGTATCAAGAGGGTGAATGCCATTTGGTGACATGCGCACGTGGTCACAAGGTGAGATGCCATAGTCACTGTGGGTCGAGATGGCGCCCTGCCTTCTGGAGACACTGGGGGAGGGTCTGGCCTCTGTGTGGGTTGTCCAGGCACGGCTCTCTCGCTCCTGCTTCACCCTGTGGACGTGGGTCTGCAGCAGACAAGGTGACCAGATGGGCATTGCGGGCACCCCCCTGGCTCCTGCTCCCAGGGACAGGCCACCCCTCAGCTTAAGGGGCCCCAGTGTTGCCTGGCTTGCCCTGACCTTGGCAGCTAGGCAGTGGGCAGGCCCAGAAAGGCCCACAGAGCACCTTCCTGCCAGCGCACAGCTCTCCCCGGCTGTGCCCCGGCCAGGACTACACACTCCACGTGCGGGCGCTCGGGGTTTTGTCTGCCCTCAGCTTGCGGATGAAACATTTTGTGGTATTTATGTATTGCAAGATGCTTCTCTACCATCTCCTAAATCAAAACAAGCCAGCTAGAAATCCATTTTTCAAATGAGGTGTTAAGCACCACATTGGAATTCTGTGCCGCATGAACACCTCGTCATGGGGGGCAAGGAGCATTCAGTGGGGGTGTTTGTAGTTCTGCTGGGAACTTGGATTTCATGGAATTGGCTCATTACACCAAAAACACACTTCAGGAGATCAGAGATGCCAAGGGGTAGCTGCCATCAATCATGTTCGCGCCTAGATGTCCAAATGCCATCCCAGCCCAGGCATGCAACAAGGTGATGTGTGGACGGGCCACCCAGAGGTCTCCTGGAGACACTGGGAGGGGGCCACCCAGCTCTGCCCACTAGCACCTCCCTCTTCTCTCATCTTGTCATAACGGGTGGCTGGCCTGGCCAGGCGGACCCTGCCGCCTGCCTGCTGACTGGTTCTGGGGGTCACCGATCCCTGCAGACTGATTCACACACTGCACCACACGCAGCTGGGTCTGCCGTCGTTGGTCTGTGTTGAGCTCTCCCTGGTAACGTTTCCTGCAATGCTGAGTGTCAGTTCACCGCAGCCCTTGCCTGGGATTTAGGAGCTAGCCGTACGGGGAGCCCACTGGCTCTCCCAGTTCCCATCTCTACCATCCAATGCATGGCATGTAGGCCCAGCACCCAGTCAACCCAGGAACTCCTGCCCCTTAGCTTCCTGCAAGCTTGGGGCTGCAGACGAGAGGCAGTCTAAGAAAGCGCTTTTGCAGAATGCCAGCTTCAACCAGGAGGTCCTGCATTCTTGGATTCGAGGTACCACCCGAGGGCCTAGGGTGTGTCAGACATGGCCCCCACTGGAGATCATGGGGAAGGTAGGCCAGGGCCTTCTGCCTCAGAAGCACCCCTGCAAGTGGCTCCGGGCCTCCCTGCACACAGCCCCGGATGCTGGCGCACAGATCTCGCAGGGGAATCCGTGGGAACTTCGCAAGTGCTTGCTCCGGGCTTCCAGTTGAAACACACAGAACATGTGTGCTTCCCACTTCTGCCATCTGGACACGCCTGTAAAGTGACAGGGACATGAAAAGGGCAAATGGCACCATACCAGGAGCGCTGATGGTGCCTGCCGTCGAGCCGAGCACTCTGAAGGGGAGGCGTGGAGCTGAATGCATGTACAACTCCCTCTGAGAGGACACCCCACGTTTGGGCTCCTGATGAGAGAACAAAAAACACAGGCAACACAGACAGACAGACGATGGCTGCAGCCCCGAAGAGGCGCAGCACCTTTATTTTTATACTGCCTTTCTCGGACCTCAGCCAAGTGCTGTACTCATCCTTCCCTTCTCGGGGGGGCAGGCCAGAAGCAGGGGCTGTGTTCTCACACATCCTCAAGGTCTCCCTATTTTCTGAGTGAGGAGGACAAGATATGTGTTTGTGGGCAGGTAACTCCTAAGGACGGCACCGGTTGTTCTCAAACTTGTGCTTTCCCCTGCTGCGTTCAGACCTGGGGGAGGGTGCTTTCCCATTCTGCCTGCAAACATGTGAGAAGCCAAGGCCGTCCCCAACAGAGCACAACGCACAGGAGGGGAGACAGAGCAGCACGGCCTCGAGGGGTGGGAGCGGGCAGACTTGGGACGCAGAGTCTCGGGGAGAATCCAGATCCTCCCCTGTCGCCCAGGAGGCACTGGAGGGGACCCTGCAGCACCAAACGTGAGGGGCTCCCGAAAACCAGGGAGCTGAGTGAAGACGGATATCCTGTGAGGCGAGCCCCCCACACCAAGGCTTCTCTCCGGACACCCTGACAGACGAGTGTCCCGTGGCTACCGTAACAAGTGACTGCGTGCTCGGTGGCCACGGTGACCAAGATTCATTCTCGCAGTCCTGGAGGCCCGAGGTCAGAAATCGAGGCATCAGC